CGGGCTTCACGCTACACGGGCCACGGTCTGCGGTTGCACAGCGCCTCTGTGACGGCGGGGTACAAGCATAATCGCTCTGCCTGCCTTTCCCTGATCAAGCCACACACCACCATCTCTCCCCTCCTTTTCCCCCCCCATTCTCCCTGTTTACCCAGCAACGACTACCGTAACGATCTGACGACCTTGACGAACAATCTCGCATTCCCATACCCGAACTACTCCAATTGAACCTAATACCAATCAGTTAAAATGGCTCTCAAGATCAAGAACATTGTTTCAAAGAAGGACAAGGCGCCCGTCGAGGAGGTCGAGGCTGCTCAGCTTGACGTCGACGTTGACCAGGTCGCGCTCGATCACCAAAAGAAGGCCATCGAGGAAGCCAAGCAGGTGAGTTGGTGGTGGCAGCGGTGTGGCCGTTTCAACCGGTGCACTTGATTGACGCTGCATAGCCACTCTCCACGCTGCATGCAGGCCGATGCTGCTGCTCTCGAAGCTGAGAACAAGGCGCGCACCGAGGCTGCCGAGGCGCTAGCCAAGGCCAACGCGGAGGCTGCAGAGGCCGAAGCCAAGGAGTACAAGGAAGCCGAAGACGCCGAGCATGCCAGCGACGAGGCAGCCCTGCAGGCCGAGGCTGATCAGAAAGCAGCAGCTGAAGCTGAGCGCCAAGTCTCTTTGGCGCAAAACGAAGCCGCGGCCGCTTTGCAAAAGGCCAAGGCTGCAGAGGAGGAGGAAAAGGCGGTCCAAAAGGCCATTGCGGAGCACGATGCTGCCGTCGCTGCTTTTGCCGCCGTGGCGAGCAAGAAGCTGGAAGAGGCAAAGGGCAAAGCGGAGGCTGACAAGTTCAAGCAGTTCGCTCAAGCTTCCGTAGCTCGTCGCAAAGCTTCCGCAAAGATTGAAGCTGCCAAGAAAGCTGCGGATGCAAAGGCTGCCAAAGCCCGCATGGCGGCTGAGCGTCAAGCTTGGGAAGAGCGTCAAGCTATCGAAAAGAAGGCTCACAAGGCTCACTTGGCAGCAGAGAAGCTGGCTGCCAAGGAGCGCGTGGCAGCTGAGAAGAAGGCGGAAAAGGAGCGCATCAAGGCGAACAAGGAGGCAGAAAAGAGACGCACAGTGGCCATCGAAGATGCAGAGGCCGAACGTCTCGCCGCTCATCTGCGAGAGGAGGAGGCCAGCCGCGTGGAGAATTCGGTGGACGCTGGCGACGAGATCGTCGCCCTGCCAGTCAACGAGACCTACTCCTCATGGCTCTGGGGCCTCCTGTTTGGACAGCCTACCGTCGACGGCTCCGAGGCCAAGAAGGCGCTCGAGGGCGCAGAGCCAACGTCCACCGACGCGACCGATGCGGATGCCGCACCAGCAGCTTCGGGGTCTGCTCCTGCTCCCGTTGCCAGTGCCGCCTGAATGAAACGCCTTTCGACACCACTGTTCCCGTGATCTTTCGATATGCCTCGTCGACCTACTCTCCTCTTCCTCTTCCACATTCCATACACGCATACCCTTGCTCAGAGTTGTCATCACCTTGCTCTGCAGCACTGTGGACAGATTTCTTGCAGCTCTTTTGTTCCCCGAGCGATTCTCGGCTTTAATTTCATGTTGACGTGTCGTCTTTGATTCCTGGGACAATCGGCTGGACGTGTGCCTGGACAGGGTAGGGTCAGGTAGGGGAAGTCACGAGCATCGATTGGTGTGCTCAGGACGTGAGCCAGAGGGAAAGAAGGGCTTGTGTGCATCGTGATGAGAGTGCCAGTCTGGGTCATGCTGAAAGAGGAGCTCAGCGAGGGCATGCGCACCTGTCCTCCTCGGGAATGGGACCCATGACCTGTTCAAGAGTATGAGTATGAGTATCAGTGCCAGCAACAGCGCGAGCGTTGAGCGTTGAGCGAGCAAACGTTTGTAGCACGCGCTTAGAGAGCAGGCTACCTCGCCCAGGGCCAGAGCAGCACTCACGGCATCGACATGTCTGCCGCAACCCTTCCACGTCGTCTTGCCACACTTGTCGCCTGCAACGTGGTCCACAAAAGCAGAATAGAAGAGCACAACGACGAATAAAGGTTCAGCAGGATGCTCATGGCGCTTGCTGCGCTACGTGTGCCCTCTGCTCACATTTGACAGGC